AAAGCCTGATCATTTCTGACCATCAGTCTGTCCATTCGCAGTAGATGGTCCTGAATAGCCACCCCGTCTGTGCCACATCCTCTCCTTGGGCGTCAGTTTCTTTAGCTGTAAAGACAGGGACTCGGCTCCTGTCTCCGAGGACTCTCTACCTATCTCTTAGTCTTTTCTACACAGACTTTGCCACTGGGGGGAGATGACCTGCGTCCATGTGTTACTGCACGCTGTCTTCAAGTCAGCGACCTAAGGAAGAGCTGAGAAGAGAAGGAGTAATCTGATCTTGCTGGGGTCAATCCCAAAGGCTCCTTGGGGTGGCAGCTGAGTGTGGGAGAGAAGAGCTGAGCAGTTCACTTCACAGAGGAGGGGAGTCTGTGCTGCCCAGAGGGAAAGGGCCAAGCATGAAATTGCAGCAGGGAAGACAAAATGTTAGAACAGCATGAAGCACTGATGCTCAAAGCGGAGCAGTTTTTCACCTGTCACTGGAACAAATTCCCATGGACTCTCAGCCTAGAGACCAAAGGACTCACAGACCATGGTGGCAGTGGTACGGCTGGGACCACACCCCCATTCCATGAGGTCGAGGCGGGGGTGATCTATCAGGGTAGTGATGGAGAAAACCCATCACTCCAGCCCTTACAGTCTGGCTTTGCGTCCAGCCTCTACCCAGACCCTCTGGGCCACCTGGAGGGAGCTATTACTCTGAATATCTGTTTCCAGATGTTTTAAAAAGGGGAGAGTAACACTCCCTGCCTCCCAGGATGGTTGTGCACGTTGCCTGGTACCTCGTACTAGCAGCAATTGTTAACTGCTGTTAGGATGGCAGCGCCCGGGCAGGTGATCTGTGCACGGGGCGTGCACACACAAGCACACACATGCACACACAGAGCAGGGGCAGTGGGCGGGACACACACCCTGCCATGTGCCCTATGGGAGGAGTAGAGGTGGGTAAGGACCCAAGGAGACAGCCTTTTCCAGCTTCATTGGTGTCATCTCCTAGTGCCTCCCTCAGGAGGGGAAAAGGGAGGGAAGTGAGAAAGGGGTGTTTAGATGTGTTCCATACTTGCTGTGTCTCACACAACCAGCCCCACCCCAACAGGACAAAATGGGAGTATATTCTCAGGCATGGAAATCGCATGCCCAGTGCTGTACAGGGGCATCTGGACCCAGCCCAGGGTAGGGGCGGCACTTGTGGGGTGGCAATGGATTTACACACCGTCCTGCGGAATCGACCCCAAGTGTGTGTGTGGGTGAACTCACACTCATTCCACCACTGTCATCTCTTATGGGTAGAGGGGTGGGGTTCATGCCAGACCAATGCCGAGTCCGAGGGGATGGCACGGCACCTGCCAACGTCACAGGCTGGGTGTGAGTTCACAGTGGATTTACACATGCCAGCCTCCCAAGCCAGCCCTCCTGAGGCCAGGCTGGCTGCCACCCTCGATCTGCTGGCCCTCCTAAGGCACCATCGGGCCCAAAGAGTGCAAACAAGAGCAGAGTCTGCTCCGCCTCCTGACCCCGGTGCCCAGCTCAGGGCCTGGCACAAAGCAGATGTTGGTGAATGAACGTCTGGCTGAATGAATGAACGAATGACTAACGCCCACTCCCTCACACCACGGGATACACCGCCTGAGTCTGGGGGAGGGCAGAGCCCTGGGGACCTCCGAAAAGGCCCCTCTTCAGACCTCCGCACCTGAGGCTTTGCCTCCCAGGG